AGATAAGAATTGCATTGTAAACTCTCATAGCAAATACAAAAACACAGTGGACGTAGGCTGTTAACCTGGTCGGACCAGTTTAAAAATCCCTTTATTTTCAGTTCATTTCATTCATATTCATCGTTGATTATCACTAATCATGCACACATCGGTTCTGATCCCGGTAAGGTCGATCGGATCTCGTTGGTTGGTGCAAAATTATGTACCAATATTTTGGCGCTAGAAGGAGGGCCTGCCAAAATTTCAAAGATTCCGACAAACGTTCACCGCGATTTACCTATTCCAGGGCCAAAATGGTGTACACAAGATTGAAAACTACAACCAGAAATCACAAAAACGTGAAAACCACCACCAAGAGGTGCAATAGGAGAACGCTGGACGCTAACCACCTATGCCGCCAACTCTGCACACCGCGAACAACCAGGGGGAAGAGACGTCAGGCTCTGAGAACGGCCAGATAATGGAGATGATCAGGACAATAGTTGCACAGGCGGTGCAACAGAACGTGGCTGAGTAGGCTGAGCTGAGGAACCAATAACCAGTTGCCTAGAACCACGACTAGCCGTGTTACACTATCGCAATCCCAACAGGTATGAATTCTGTAGGTGGACAATTTGTTTCGTCACTGCCAAGGGGCGATCAACACCTCCAACCTCACAGGCAGCACTCCACGCACGAGCGTGAGTCTCACAGGTAAACAAACCCTGGGAGGCGATCGGGGAAGCAGCTGCTGAGGGAAAGCAAAGGCGACGGGCACCACCAAGAAGCTCAGTGGTATCCCCAGCATCAGCGTACCTATTTTAACCCACGCCTAAGGCAAGATTGATCTTCACAGGCTCGCGAAGTGAGTCATTTGCGTCAATCTGGCAAGGACCGATGTTCCGGTTATGACCGACATCGTGAGCAACACATTGACGAGCATGATAGCACATATCAACCAAACCATCATGACTCAACCTCGCGCATCAACGCGCACATTGAAAGAGCTTCGCAAGCAACAAACTTGTAGACTCATTTGCTCGAGGTAAGGCTTAACAGAGCCAGCCAAAGCAACCAAATTGAAGACTTAGATCGCATGCAGAGGATGCTTGACGATCTAAGAGCTTGCCAGAACAACCTAGCAAAGAAAGTAATAAGTTCCCCCTTTACAGAGGAAGTTCGCCAGGCCCTGCTCCCACAAGGGTTTAGGGCACCGAAAAGCAAGTTCGACAGGAGAGGGGACCCTAGAGACTGCCTCGACAACTTCAATGACTTGATGGAGCTACACCAGGTTAGTGACTTAGCGAAATGTCAGTGCTTTGTAGTCACATTAGTTGGAGATGCCAAGAGTTGGTACAAAAGGCTCAAGGTGAACTCCATCAACTCTTGTTAACAATTCTCCTCGCTAGACTTATAGCAATTTCAGGCGAGGAGGCAGTTCGCGATGCTGCTTAGCTACTTGAGCAACATTCTCCAAGAGCAAGTCGAATAACTGACCTCGTATTTAATGAGGTTCCAAAACGAGTAGGCAAAAGTCGCTAATGCCCTCGAAGAATCCATTCAAACTTTGCTGATCGCAAGGATCAGACCTAACATGAAGCTATGGAAAGAGCTCCAGAATGAAGATCATGTGAGCTTGGCCAAATTCTACCAAATGGTCGCGAAATACCACCATGTAAAGAGCTCGCTAGCAGCACTAGCCAAAAGCTCAATGCTGGGGGTCCCAGACAGGAGACAAGATCACCCCTCAGATAAGCGTGGTGTTCAAGATCGCAATGACAGGTATCGCAACAGGTTCTAGAAGAAATAGAGGATAGATAACTACAGTGAAAGGTAACCTTTCTTGCTGTATGCAGAATACACCCCCCTCACTCAAGACATCTCTCACATCTATGAAGTGTCCCAAGAGGCGAAGAGACTGCCCACTCCAAAAAGGATGAGGGGGGCTCCCGGCAGAAAAGACCGACAGAAATATTATCGATACCATAGGGATTTCGGGCACAACATGAATGATTGTCGAGCGCTGAAAGATGCCATCGAAGATCTGATAAGAAAAGACCACCTGAAAGAATTTGTTAAGGCAGAACTGGGTTACGAAAACCCTGATGAGCAAAGTAGCTAGGCCCCAAGATAGGTTCAGGTTCCAACTCAATAGGCTCAACCAAATCCCAACGAAGTCTTCGTGAATATGATCTACAGAAGGCCTGATATAGCGGGGAGCTCGAGACGGGCTCGCAAGTAGTATGCTCAAGAAGTGAGGACGGACTCGATCCCTCGAATAATGAGCTACGAGAGGAAGCCACCAAAGCAGCCCAAACAGGAAAGCGAGGTAGTGGGGTTCACAGTTGACTAGTGTGAAACATCCCCACGTCATAAGCATGATGCGATTGTAATCACGGCTAGGATCGACAGTGCAAGAGTATTAAGGGTTATGGTTGACTACGGGAGCGAGACAAACATCATTTTCTTAGGAGCCTTCTGAGGAATGGGATTCACAAAAAGGAACCTGCAAGCGTTGGCATTTCAAAGAAGTTACCGTAGAACTTCTCAATGAATATTGTAACTAAATTCTTCAGACAATAAAAAAGTACAAAATTTCGCCCATTGCTGGAACTTCGTCGGCTTCCTTCAGGTGCGTCCGGTGCCAAAAATCAGAGATCCACCCACCATTGAAAAGATCTTGAGATGCTCTGTCTCATCGTTCCATCACCGCCACGGTTTACTGCTCCATTCGTCAGGATTTCATCGTGAAACTTCACGAAAACTACAGAACTGGGTTGGATTTTCTTGTGGGTTTTTCGGTCGGGAATTGTAGTGGATGGCGACTACTAACTCCTCTGGGCTTGCTCTTCAATCTCCCCAGCTGTTTGCATCTTGTTGACTCCTGGTTTCCGGCAAAGCCCTCTGTTTTTTTCTGGGAACTTGGTGTTTTGGTTGGGTTTTTTGCTTATTTCATGAACCTTTTTTTTGGTGTTTTTTTTTTTCGCCATTTTTTGTGGTTTGTTGTTGCAGATTTCTGGAGATAGTGGGTTTAATTTGGTCAACTTTGGTCGAGTTTTGAGGAAGCTTTTATCGTGCACTCCAACTACTCGATAAAAGTTCCCTGTCCTGTATGCCCTGCGCGCAAGCCTGCTCGCGCCCAGCACCCAGCGCCTGTTGCTGCCTCGCCACTTGTTGGCCCTCCTGACCACCTTTCCCTTTCCAACACCAAAACCCCTTCACCACTGGAATTTTTTCACAAATCCCCGCTGTTTTGAACCTTTCAACTCACCTAAATCACACATTTTTTTCCTGCCACCAAGTGTTCAAAAAAATGCCCGAACCAAATCCCCCACTCCCAAATCACACCATATCGCATCCAACCTAAGCCAACACTTTAAATACTACCTCTACCACCTCCCAACAGCCACAAAATTCTGGAAATTTGGGGAAATCCTTATGGATTGGAGATTTGGAGCTATGGATGGATGACAAGTATTTACTATCCACTTTCTCAAATGTGGCGATTCAAGAAGCAAGGTTTTTCATCACAAAAACTCTTCCTTTGGTTTTCTTGAGTTTGAATCTAATGATAATGCAGGTTCATCATTACTATCTTTTAATGGCTTAAAAATACCGAAGTCTAAGAAGCTTTTCAAGCTCAATTGGGCGTCTTCAGAGCCTCGGAAAAAAAAGTCAGTTTCTAAGCCAGTTTTGGAAAAGAAAGTGCGGGTAAGAGCACATCAGAAGTGTCCTCCTCTTGGGCGGATAAGGTTAGAGTGACAAAGGTCGAGTCTTATTTCACCCTTGAAGTTGTGGAACTTGATATTAAGGATGACATCTTACATATCCCAGATGATGTTATTGATGACAATGATGTTGAGTGGCTTCACTGTATTGTGGGTTATTTCTCGGGGTATTCTATGCCACTATTGCAGAAAAGTGCCCACTCAATTGCTTTCCGTGCATGGGAAGCTGCGAGTTTGGAGGATGTTATGTCCACTGGTACTAGTTTCTTTATCTTCAGATTTAGGGATAAGGATGCGGTGCATTCAATCCTAGAGAGAGGGTCGTGGATATTTGGGGGCAAGTCGATTGTTCTGCAACAATGGCATGCTCAGTTTTCCTTTGATAAAAGCCGCATCTCCAAGGTTTCGGTATGGGCTCGTTTGCATGGGTTGCCTTATCCTTCATGGTCTCACAAAGGACTTTGCATGGTTTCTTTTATGTTGGGTCGGCCGTTGTCGAGTGATAAGACTACTTCTGAACGAACCTGTTTAGATTATGCACGGGTATGTGTTGAGATAGATGTAGCCAAGCCTCTTAAACGCCAATTTGAATTTCAATGCCAGTTATCTACTGAACCCATTCAGATTACAGTGAAATATTAGTGGACCCCCAAGAGATGCCCCAAATGCTGTGTTTTTGGCCATGTTTGTCACCAACTAGAGGTACCTACTGCACCTATGGCTCAGGATAAGAGTAAGACAATTAGCTTCCAAAAGGCATCGGGGAGTGGTATTGTAGTGCAATCTGAGGACCACGAGCCTTTGAGACAGTCAGCTACTACTGATCCCATTAGGGAGGGGGGAGAGACAGAAGGATTTTTCAGCACCAGTTGGGGTTTCAGTTCCGGATGGGGTTACTACCATGCATTCTAGTGCAGCTACAGTTGGGGATGTTTTTTTGGATTTGATCCCATATCAGCAGATTTTTCATGCCAGTAAAGGTGAATTCTCCAACTCTGATTCTAGGACGGATCTTGATACACCTTTTCCTATCGAAATTGAGCAGGACCGCATTATGGGCTTCACAAACGGCATGGGAAACACTCAGGCTTCCTTTATGAGTTCTGGGAGCAGGCAATCTACTTCTTCCAACAGGTTTGCCTCGATTGTTCTGCATAGTGATGATCTCTAAACGCTAGATGCCACCTTATCTGGATCAGTTTCCCTACCACCCTTGAAAAAGGGGAAGGGCCGGGGAAAGCGGGGGCCTAGGCCCAAGTGATTGTATAGCTTATTTCTATCCCAGTTCCAATAATGGGGAGTTGGAATATTAGAGGCCTTAACGGCTTCTCGAAACAACACGCGGTGAGAAATTGGATTTCTGATTCGTCTTTGGGTTTGATTGGTTTGTTGGAAACTAAGGTTCAGCAGTCTCATTGGTAGCGTGCTGAATGCACCAAATTAATTAACCTTACTAACCTAACTACTAAATTGTATATAGGGTGAGCAAGGGTCGATCCCACAGGGAATGATTCGATTAAATCCTATATTCTATGCCAATAGCCACAATGAAAACAACACAATAAAACCCTAAACAGTGAACAAGACAACACAACAGAGTAATGAAAGGGGTTTGTAATCAAGGCAAACTAAAGTAAAACAAAGAAGTCTCTAATGGAAGAAAAAATCAGATTACAAACAATCAGTTCTCGGTTCAAGATCCACCTAAACATGCATTGGACACGAACTAACTGTAACACTATTCTATCTCATTATTATGGAACTACTAACCCTAGGAAACAACAAGCTCTGTTACCCGAATTCTCCCTTAATCGTCACTATTGAAATAAGCTCTTCAAGTAGATCTTAACCCTCGAACAACCTAGAATAAGCTCTCTAAGTTTAATTCAATGGCAGCCTTAAGAATTAGGAAAATAGATCAATCTAAGCAACAATCACACAAGCTCGGATTATTTAACTTAGGTTATGTTATTCAAGATGATAGAATGAAAACTTGTCCATAATCATCTATCATCATGTGCTACCCATTGAATAGAAAAAGGACAATTACGGATCACAATTCCTAATTCTAACAGATAAAATTCCGATAAAATAATTCAGCATGCCATTACTAAATCACCCAAACAAAAAAATATAAACAATTAAAACAGAATAACATAAACAATTCCAATAAAAATGAGATTAAGAATAATGTTACTGAAGTTAGGTTACACCAATGACATGACTTCAAAATCCCCTTGAACTGAAGAAGAAAGATCAGCCTCACATCTTGATGTAGAAAGTAAAAGAAAACCGAAAAAAACTCAAAAACCACTGCTGTCTCTTCTCCCCCCTTTTTAACCTAACAACTTATCAATAAATAACATGTGTTTTCCTTAATTCTACCCCAAGAATCACAAAATTTCTTTCCTAGACGTTTCCTAGAAGATAGACTTCCAGATTTGTCAAAATCTTATCAGATATGGAAAATAGAATTCGTCTCCAGCTTGCACCAGGATTCTGGTAATGTAAAAGATTTTTTCTGGGCTCGGTCACTTCATAAAAATTGTAGTCCAGGATGTGTAGATGAATCTGGAATTTTGAATCACCCGCTTTCGATATCTGACGCTCCAGTTAGGCCCGTTCGAAGATTCAATACTCAGCCAGGAATTCCTTCCGCGACTAGGATTCCAGGTCTGGTTTTGCAACAACTAATGAAGACCCAAACGAACTCAGATTCTCACCCATAATACCTTCCTGGAAAGATTGATTTGTCAAATTTACGTTTTCTGAAGAACACTTTTGCAATCGAGAAATCTGACTCCATGAAAAACCTGAAAAATGCAGCACTGGTCAGAATAACAAAAATCTAGAATTTCCTAATCTTTTATCACTTATTTCCTAAAGTCCATCCAACTATGCCAAACTCACAAAATAAACTCTAATCAACTCAAATAGGCATAAAACATAACAAAAAAACATAATATGGAAGGAATAAAAATATGTAAATTACACTCCTATCACTCATCTACAGTCAGTGGTCTCGACAGTTTATCCTTCGTGGCAGTTTTTGTCAAATGTGACTGACTCTATTACCTACCAAATTCTAGTATGTTGGGATCCTTCTCTTTACTTTGTAGATAGCCTTCATTCCTCCCTTCAGGAGATCACTTGCAGGGTTACTCATGTTTCAGAGGGGTTCTCCTTTGGGATTACCTTTGTGTATGGTTCTAATGACCCTGGGAATCACCGTAACCTGTGGGATTTCTTTAGGGATCAGGTGGCAGAGTTTGATTCGGAGGGGTTACCATGGCTTGTGTTGGGTGATTTTAATGCCATTTTGGGAGCCTTTGATAGAGTGGGTGGTGATCCTATGTGGTATGGTTATATGGATGATTTTGGCCACTGTATTCATGATACTAAGTTGATTGGAGCTCCTTTTACTGGGCTTTGGTATACTTGGCATAACAGTCAGCAGGGCGATGGGATTATTCTATGGAAGCTCAATTGGGTCTTTGCATCGCTTTCTTGGTTCATTGATCGACAAACCACAGTTTCAGAGTTTCGACCTCGGGATGTCTCAAATCATAGCTTTATGGTTGTCCGGTTTGGCTCTCGTTGTGGCAAGGTATCATCCCCTTTTAAATTTCTGAATTTTTGGGCTGATCGTGTAGATTTTATGGATATTGTTCAGACAGTTTGGGACGAGCCTATTGTAGGTAATCCTATGTTCCGTCTTACGTAGAAATTAGGGCTATTGAAACGGAAGCTCAAATCTCTACATGTTAGGGACTCCAGCCATATCTCCAGTAGGGTGATTGAGGCTCGTGCTCAGTGGGCAACAACCCAAGCAAATTTGGACTGGGACCCCCTTTCTACTGAGTGTATCTCTCAGGAGAGGAACCTTGTCAATCGGTATTTCGGTCTTTATCGAGATGAGGAGGTTATTTTTAAGCAGCGATCTTGTGTTCAGTGGCTGAATTTAGGGGATCAGAATACTAAGTTCTTTCATAAGTCGTTGATCCACAGGCAGGTTCGGAACCTCATCCACAGTTTGACTGATGGAAATGGTACTCATATTACTGACAGTTAGGGTTTAAGGCGCTTGGTAGTGGGTTTTTTTTCAGGATCTTCTTGCTGCCCCTACTCAACCTCGGATCGTGGAGGCTTCCAGGTATTTTTTGGGCACATTTCTTCTGATATGACTTCTCCCTTGACTACTCCTATCACTGATGATGAGATTAGGACTGCTTTATTCTCTATCCTGGATGATAAAGCCCCTGGCCCGGATGGATACACTTCTTTGTTTTTTAAGCGGGCATGGGAGATTATTAGTACAGATTTCAGAGACGCGGTGAGATATTTCTTTGTTACTAATGAAATGCCAAGATGTGTTAATGCTACCAAGATTGCTTTGGTCCCTAAGGTGGACAACCCGAGTCGTATGACTGACTTTAAACCGATATCTTGTTGTAATGTACTATACAAGTGCGTTACTAAGGTGATAGTGAATCAGTTTAAAGTAGTGCTTCCGGTTGTTATTGGGAGTTCTTTGTTGGCTTTTGTCCCGGGTCGAAGGATTTCTGATAATATTCTACTGACTTAGGAGCCTTTGCGGAATTATCATCTTGGGGGTACTTCACCTCGATGTGCCCTTAAAGTTGATATTCGAAAAGCTTTTGATACTGTGAGTTGGGATTTCATCCTCTTGGGGCTGCGTACCATTGGGATTCCCAAGCGTATAGTGAGGTGGATCATGACATGTATCTCTACACCGTATTTCTCTGTTGCCCTGAACGGAGAGCTTCATGGTTTTTTTAGGTCCTCCTGGGGTGTTCGGTAGGGGGACCCTCTTTCTCCTTACTTATTCGTGTTGGCTATGGAGGGGTCTAAGTTTTAAATTTTATAAAAAAATTAAAATAACATTTGTTATGGTATGGTATGTGTATGGATTGAAAAGATTTTTTAGTTAAGTAAAAGCTAAAATTAGAGTTTCATTATATATAAGGACACCCTTTATAGTGAATTTAACATTTAATACATTTAAATATTAATATGAAATATCAAAACATAATAATCACTTGCCTCTCCTCAACTAAATTTCTGGCTATGTCCCTGATACAAATATGATAATACTTTTATTCATTGGTTATATTATATAAGAGGATAAAAGACTTTCTCCTTTCTATTTTCAATTTCAAAATTTTGTATTTAGAAACATGCATACTATTTTAAGAGATGAAAGGTGAATCCATATTATTCCATAACAATCAAAAGGGTGAATGAATGTCAATCTACTTACAGTAACTTGAACTTCTATTAAAAGTTTTTTTAACTTCTAACATATGCATGCTCCTTTAAATGCTCCCTCCAACTTTTCTGACTTGCTAAAAATCCATGAGGGGGGTTATTTTCTTCAGAACCCATAATGCAATTGCCATCAGGGATCGCTTCATTATTGGAGAGAGAGAGAGCCTATTAGATGAGATTGACTTTATTGGAAATTGGGTGTGTAGAGAAAACCAGAAATATTAATTGAGATTAATTTGAGATTTTGAAGGTTGTAGAGAGAAATTAAATGGGTAGAATAGTTTTGGAGGGGTCACTTATAATTTTTCAGAAACTCAGGTAAGGTCACTCAGACAGACTCAGGAGTCAGGTCAGTTCTGGTTTTGAATATGTAGGCTGTTTGAGTATCTTTTCCTCAAACCTAAGGGTAAGTGGCGGTAGATAATCCGCCAATTGATAAGAGACATAGCAAGTTATTAAAGCCCAAGTATTACTCATGGGATTTTTTCATAATATGCAAAAAAATTGATTTTCAAAAACCTTTCTGAAAGAGACAACAAATCGCAAGCCATAGAAGTGCTTTGCTGCTTAATTGCTAATATTGTGGCCAAAGGTCCTTCATAACGCAAGACCCAACAACTCTGCTCTTTTACCTAGCCAGTTCTAACCCTCCATACACGAATATAATTTAGAGTGGAAAGAAGAATAGAATATGAGTTCCAGTTATAAAGGATATCCTAGAGACATCCATGTTCATCATCATCAATGTCATACATCTAAGTTCACTCCTTGTATGTCCAAAACCAGTTGTACAATATCACAAACAGCCACTACCACCACAAACAGCAACCAAATTATCACCTTTGCACTTGAACAGGGGTAAGGTTGACGAGTTACTCATACTTCACTTGACAAGTGTAAAAGAAAAGTAGTATCAAAAACTCAACAGTGATTCGATTGAACAAGAACAGTTTTTGCACCACAAAGTTCAGGGGCATTTGACTTGATAATTTGAAATGTCATAGAAAGTCAAAATTAACCAAAATAGAACCCTGTTAAGTTCTAGCAATAAGTGCAACATGATGTAATCAAAAATTGAAAAACTGACCAACTGGTAACAGTGCTCCAGCCACCACAGAAACTCACCCCACTTCGGGAAACCTCGAATAAAAATTAATCTTAGAAATGCTCTATCATAAGTTGAATGATTGAAAATAAACAACTTTGACTCAAAAATCTACCCCAAGCTTGTTTGAAGGCAGCCATTAACACATGCCAACAGGTCATTCAACCACTGAAATATTATAAGCGTTCTAGGACCATATGAAAAAACATTACCAAAAAGTAAAACCCTTATTTTCTTCCACAGAAAATGCCCAAGCGGTGTGTGAAAAAGAGATATTATGTTCAATAATCAGCATAAGAATATAATATATAAATCATGCTTCAAAATTACAGCATTAACACTTAAAAAGAAAATGTTCATAATCCAGTCTTCATTATTATTGATTCTTAAACAAGTTGATGTCTTGATAGCATACCATTCAGAGATACAATTTCTAAAGACTGGAAGCTGAAGGCACCACATAATCAACAACAATCACGCCTTCAATATAATCTTTAATCTTCTCTTTCTGCAATTTCACCAACTCCTCGTTGGAATCAGCTTCTTCCATTTCTTTCACTCCCTTGAAAACGGCAATCGAAGCAATCGAAAACCCTTTTGCTCTGGCCGGAGAAAAGTTTTCTCCACAAGTGAGTTGATCAATTCCCCCAAAACTTTCCTTAATTCCTTTAATTACCCCCAATATTTCGTTTTTCACTTCCTCCCCCAAATTCTCCTTCAATTTTAAAAATGTGATTCTTATGGCCGACCCCGGGGGTGGGGCCACAGGGGAGGGAGATTGATCAGCCACCCAATCGACGGCCATTAAGTCCTCACAGATTGGCAGGACCGATTCTTTGACGACACTCATGTGATCAGGGTGTTCAGAGTAGGCGGCTAAATCATCCTTGGAGTTGTAGCGGCTGTGGAGCATGTGAGTGAATGAGAAGAGAGAGGATCCGGTTCGGATTACCGGACCGGAGGTGAGATGGAGAACAGGGTCGAGGGAGATGAGGCCGTTGAGGTTGTTAATCATGGTGTTGACTTTCGATTGGTCGGTGTCGGACTTGACCTTGAAGAGGACGATGTGCTCGACGGTTGACGACATGGTTGGTTTGACGGAGAATGTACGTGGTCTGAGGCGAGGGATGCGCTTGGGAGGTGAGAAAGTGATGGAAAATGTGGAGGTTAAGAAAGGGCGTGCTCGCATACACAGCATTGTGATGGGCTTAGCGAGGGGTTTGAAAGTGACTGGAAGCTTTGCTGGGAGCGGAGAGATAATCATGCCACGCGCTACCGCCGCGTTGATGTATTGTCGTTTAGGCTCCCAAATCCCAATTGTGGTTTAGGAGAGTGTGGTGTACGGAGCGTAGAAATAATTGCAATTGGACATATTTTCATTTAAGGAATCTTATGATATTAAATATTATCTTTTAAATAAAAAATTATTCACCCTTAAATAAAGATAACTGTGTTTATTTCACTATTTTTACCATATCATATTCCTATCCTATCCAAAATATATATTTGTTTCATATTCTTAAAATTCAATTTTATTTAATTCAACTATTTTTAAAACTCTCATAGGTTTGTTAATTTAACTAAACGCCTAAAAAAAAAAGTTTAGAAATTGACAAAACACTTGCATTCACTTACATTTGCCAGATTTTGACAACACTATCGAAAGGTGGTCGAAATCTGGCATAATGGCACAATATCAGCTTAATCTGACCGATAGTACGTCAATCTAACATTTTCTAACCAGATATTTAGCCGTAGTTGGTCATCAACGACGGTCAAGATATCGTCGTCGTTGATGACCAAACGTGACTAGATCCACGATAGATCTGACCGAAAAAGATATATTGATGTACGATCGACCAGATCCAGCCAGTCGTACTTCATTACGACGACAGTCGGCTACCCTCCGATGTTAGTAGCTGGCATTTAATGGGTCGGTGGGAGTGTTTTTATTATTTTTTAATATTTTATTGTGGTGGTGTTTAGCTAAATTAACAAATGTAAGGAGTTATTTTTGTTAATTTTAAAATTCTACCTTGTAATAACCACTCAACTCAATTTTTTCAAAAATCATACCTAAAATAATAAAATAAAGACGCACCCTCAATGATCTTATTTTATATGGCGTAATACTGTTTTATATTTATGGTAACCACAAAAGCTCATTTAAAAACAGAAATACGCGTTAAATATGAGTGGGTAATGTTACATGTGGGTATTGGGCTCCTGTGCTTTATTTATAAGAAGAAGACCGAAATGAGTAGGTAACCCAAAAAGTATTTCTTCATGGGCATGGTCTATTGGCCCAATATGAAAACAATATCTTTTTTAAAAGATTAATCATCCCACTCTGAATCAATACTCAAATGTTATGTACAATTTCGGGATTTCGTTAGTTGTATAGCTTAGAGATCTGCATAATAAGGTATAATGTATTCTGATATATATATATTTTTTTTTTATACATGATTTTTTACAAATTTAAGTAATGGAGTGAAAGGTAAAGATGACGTAGCTTCTTTCTTATATTGACAGTTTCAAGTGTCATGGTTAACACTTAACACATATATAAAACTCAATTCATTATTGAATAATATTATACCTACAAAGACTCTACATAAAGTTTATCTTACAAAGACTTTATACAAAGTTTATCTTACAAAGTTCATTATTAAGAGGCTTGACCCAGAGAATGTATCAAAGAATCTTTGCAAAAGCTTTTTGTGTTATTTTCAAGCTTACTTAGAACCAACCTCTGACTTCTACGGTCGCACCATTCTTCTAGTCTGTGACCCAAGTGTTGAATGCGTCGTTTGTAGATGGAAATTAGGACTTGGCCTCTCATCAACTTGTATGGACTCCTGTTACAAAACCAATATGTAAGCAGCCTTGGATACAATATACAATATTAGGCTGAGAGGGAGATTAATTAGAAAGACAGAGAGACATTGATTGAGAGACTGGGTGGGAGCCTATGAAACCGCTACTTCCAGCACTTTGTTATGTTGGTTCTTAATGTATGGAAATGTTTGCCTACTAAAATCTTTCTTGTATGAATAGTAATGCCTCTAACTTTGTGGTTTAATACAAAAGGAAAGCATTTGGGAATTGGGATTGTTATTATCAATCTATCTGTGGTGAAAATGACAAAAATGGAGCTTGCCATTTACGAATGACATGAACATTCTGAATTCAATTCAGCTTACTAATAGTTTTGTGGTGCTTGTTATTGTAATAAATCACAATCATGGTTTACATTGAAGGAGGTAATAAATTTTTTATTTATTAGTTATAGGAGGTAATAAATTTTTTATTTATTAGTTATGTTTTATATGTCTTAATTTCAATCAAAATCTCTTGACTGTGGTTAAAAAGAACCAAGTATAAATTTCATGGTCACAAAAATAGGAAACACATCTTAATTCTTAACAAAAGGAGCATATATCGCACAGCGAAGATAGAATTCCCAAGGATTTTCTATAAGAGTTGAGCAACAAGCTAGAATAGGATTGAAGGATGAACATTGAGATGAAATAATGTTAAATACATCTTTTTATTCTAAACTTAGTGATCATAATAATATTTAGGGAGAGTAACAATTTAAGGCATTTTTTGAAAAAAAGGATAGAATACAACCACAAAGTTCTAAAACACAATGAAAAGAACCACTTAACACTATAACTAAACTTAATACATGTTTCATGCAGCAGCGGATATAGGAATTAATTTTGGAGGGGACAAGTCAAAAATAATATAACATACAACAGGAAAAATGTAAATGAGGGGATCAACACTATAAAATATTAATACAAATTTAAGGGGGTTGAACCAAAAAATCAAACTAAATTAATGAAAAATAAAATTTGAATGGGGCCACTCACCGTAACTTGGGTTTGCCCATAATTTCATGTAATTATTAAGATATTTTTAACATTATAAGAAAATAAAAATACATTTTCCCTTTTAAAATACATTTCAACAACTTTATTCATTTTTTGGTTTCGAAAACAAAACATTGTTTAATGAGTGGAAGAGATAGAAATTGACATGACAAAATCACTAGGTAAAATATTAAGCACTGGCAAAGCAAGTAAGAAATAAATATATATCTTAAACAGACCAAGACAAATATCTACTTGAGGAGGTTTAAGAACTTTGGCATCAAATTTTTTTTTTTTTTTTNAAAAAAAAAAAAAAAAGTCAATATTTTCTTGGATTTTATGTTGTAAACATAAATGGAATAGGTAAAGACCTTTCCCACCATTAATTATGAAGGTGGTTTATTAGGTCACTTATGTGTCAAATATTAATTAGTATTTTAATTTATTATGATAAAATTATTGATTTAACCCATTTTAAATATTAAATTTAACTAGGTCAAGCTGTTAAGTGGACGGTTTTATTGTTGTTTAGAATTTATGAATTTTTTTTTTTATCTATTTTTGCAAAAGAGTGGATTTAAATTGATAATCTCCCTGTTTAAATAAGATAATACTAGGGTGTGTTTGGCTATGAATAATCCTCTATTACTCTAATAATGTCATATTTCGTTATCATATTTAATTGTCAAGTAATAAAAGATTTCGGTAATCCTCTGATATCAATAATAATCACTGTAGATTATATATAGCTAATCCGAATACCACCCATTTTTGAGATGTTCTAAGATTACTTGGTAATCTTAATTTTATTACCCGTAATTAATAGTATTATTAATAATATAATATAATAATAATATTAAAAAAGAATAATAATTCAGTAAAATGCTTCTCCCATAATTTTTTTATTCCTTCTAACAAAATATTTTAATTATTTATACCAATTAATTTATTCCAATCTAGCCAAACAAATTTAATATAATATTTCTAATAATCTTAACTTATCTTTTTATTAATATAATATTTATAGTAATGCCATATTCTCTAAACCCAACATCTAAAAACAAAAGAAGTTAGCTTTAAGGAATTGGTCTGACAGAAGTTTATTTTTTTCTTTTGAGTTTCTATGTTTAAATTTTGGAGTTACTTATTATAATAAAATTAAAACTTATTTAGTCTTTTCGACTCATAAGGCCTTTAATGAATTCTTTGGATATAAGACCTTTAATGAATTCTTTGGATTAGTATGCTTGGGAGTTTTATGGTAGCGGTTATGAAGATAAATTATCGTAGCGGTTTTGAGGGTAAATCATCGTAACGGTTTTGAGGGGTTGTTAGTAGTGGTTTTTAAAATACCTAATCTGTGCTTAGGAGTTTATTTTCCAACGGTCTTGACAGTTTTTTAAAATGATAAGTTTATATATATACCCATAAAAATACCCCAACTTCAACAAGTATTTGTGAGTTTTTTTTTTTTTTTTCAATTACCAAAGTTCCTTCCACGTTTAATTTATTTGTAAGTCTTTTCATTGTATATTATTTAATTGATCACACAATCATTCGAAATCTGTCATTTTAAGAGAATAAATTTGCTGCCACAATGTTGGACTTCTCAAATTATCAATATAACACCTGCAACAACATTTCTAAAAAATAGTTTTTTGTTCTTTTCTTCAATCAGTGAAGCAAAGCCATCAAAAACAATTTTTATTTAACAAACTGACAATGATTCAATCAATCACTTAAATGCAAATAGAAAGAATCAAATAGAGGAAAAATCACCTAATTTTGTGAAATAACTGGTAAAGAAATGCAATGAAATTATATATAGCATGCAAAGGAGTTTACCAGATTAAAAGAACAAAAAGTTGAAGGGGAAAATAAAGAAGAAAGAAAGAAAAACCTTCATATCTCTAACGAAGGATTAGAAAGCGTTAGATAAAAGATTTAAAAGCATTGTAATAGTTATCTAAAAGTTGAAGATTGAATGGGGTTTGAAGAAATTTTTAAACCAACAAAGGGATTATTATATATGAATAATAGTAGAAAGGAGTTTTTTCAGATAAAAATTTTAAACTAATCAAAACACTCCTATTTGATGTGTTTTATAAACCTCTTAAAAACACAATATACTGATTTTAGGAGATTTTTAAAACAATAAAAAATAACCCATAAATTTTTTTATAAATAATAGTTTTTAAAAACTCAAATCTAATTAAAAAACCTTTTTCAAAACCAGTGAGAGAGTGAGAGAGAGTTAATAAACCCGAGTATATTTTATAATTTGTAAAAAGGCGTGAGTTGCGAGGGCGAGCGAGGTAACAGATGAATGTATAAGCCGCAGTGTAGCACTATTTGGCTTAACTGAAAAAGAGCATCCAGATACTGTTGTTTCAGTGACAGGCACAGAGATAGGTGGCAGCCTAATAATCTACTGTGCCAGTAGGAGTAGTTGCCCACCACTGCCCTCTATTTGTACTACCACCTACCATTTACCCTTCATCCACAGTCCACACCTTTAACTTTTATAACTCTTCTCATTTATTATTATTTTAAATTCTAAACCAACTTCTACGGCTACACCTGCTGTACTCAATAGACCCACTTCATTGAACCAAAACCCAATTAATTAAATATGTTATTAACAGTTAAAAAAAAAAAATGTTTATTTGTTTGTTTTAATGGAAGATGATTAATGATAAATTAATTGAGTAATCTCTCCAAAGTTGGTTTTGAAACATCACATCTTCAAGAAGGTCCGTGGTTAACATCACCTACCTTCTTTTAATTCAAGTAATTGCTTGCTCTAATCCAGTCAACCAACAAGATAACACTTCATTTCCTATATTACTCAAATATAGATAGGGTTTTTCATCTTAACAAAACACAGTTTCAATAAATATAAAAATAGTGTTGGAGAAGAGAAAGAATTGCCNAGCATCCAGATACTGTTGTTTCAGTGACAGGCACAGAGATAGGTGGCAGCCTAATAATCTACTGTGCCAGTAGGAGTAGTTGCCCACCACTGCCCTCTATTCGTACTACCACCCACCATTTACCCTTCATCCACAGTCCACACCTTTAACTTTTATAACTCTTCTCATTTATTATTATTTTAAATTCTAAACCAACTTCTACGGCTACACCTGCTGTACTCAATAGACCCACTTCATTAAACCAAAACCCAATTAATTAAATATGTTATTAACAGTTAAAAAAAAAAAATGTTTATTTGTTTGTTTTAATGGAAGATGATTAATGATAAATTAATTGAGTAATCTCTCCAAAGTTGGTTTTGAAACATCACATCTTCAAGAAGGTCCGTGGTTAACATCACCTACCTTCTTTTAATTCAAGTAATTGCTTGCTCTAATCCAGTCAACCAACAAGATAACACTTCATTTCCTATATTACTCAAATATAGATAGGGTTTTTCATCTTAACAAAACACAGTTTCAATAAATATAAAAATAGTGTTGGAGAAGAGAAAGAATTGCCGGCTCGATGTCTCTCATTAAGAAAACAAATGGTGAAAATTAAAGATAATTATTGTTCTCATTAGAGACTTAACATTAACAAACTCTGCGTAACTTGTACGGAGGATCGGTATTCTACTATTTCTATTATTAACTTAAAATGAAGAAGCGAAAGGGTTTATGTTTGTTTTCTGATCATTAAAAATTACATTCTCTTAATTTCTCTTTTTGTAAATAAATTCTCTTTTTTTATTTAATAATATGGATGGCCCATGATTTTGATGGTTGGTCAATGAAAGCTAAGTGTTAATGTTGATATTTTAATAAGCTTAATCAACGGATGGATGCCGTTCATTTTCCACAATGTATACTCAACCCGAGACAACCAATGTTAACTATGTAAATAAATTAAAAGGGAAAAAAATGATGGAAATAGCATAGCATAACATAGGATAGGGCAGGGGAAAGAAAAACATCAGGTGTTGGATAGTGTGTACAGTGCAGTGCAGGATTAGAGTATGTTTTTTAATACATGTACAATTTTAACATTTTTGCTTTATAACAATATTAATGGCGTGATGTTTTATGGGTCCCACTGCATCAGCATGGAGCAATGCTAAACTCAATCTGGATTGACTCGGATCCGAACCTACAGATCTCCCGAGCCTCACTTCACACGCGTCGAATCCCCATTGGTTTAGAACAGTTGTTCGCATGATTTTATTGTTGAGTATTTTTAATTATATCGAACTTCCCATTCTCGGCCAAAACGAAGATCCGCGGGCGGACTTGATGCAGGCCAAACCAATATGGCAATATCCCCCTTTTTTTATTTACAATATTACCCTTTTCACACGTCACCCTTTTCTGGTATTTCTCCACTACAATATTATTAATTAATTATTTATTTGTTTAATTAAAGGTGTAATGAAATATTCCTTTCTATCTTTTGAGTGATTTGATTTCCATTTCTAATTAAAATTCTATTGACTTTAAAAGTTAGCCCTATATTTGGTCACTTCACTTTATCAACCATTGATTTTTGTTATCTAAGATTGATTAAAATATAATAATAAAGATAAAAGATATTCTTTTTTTATTTTATCATTCATTGACTTAATAAAAATCCTCTGCGAATAACGCATTTCAGAATAACTTTTTGGTATTTATTAGTTAAAAATAATATAAAATTCATTTCGAGTAAAAAAAATAAAAATAAATAAATAAATAAAGAGATATTTTGATGGATATCTTTTAAATACTTTCACATGGTTTATTATAAGACCTTTATTAAATTTAGCCTTATCTATTGACAAATGAGAGCACCCAAATCTTCAGATTATGTATATAATATTTAATCATTTGTCATTTCAACCTCCATCAAACATTCTACCTGAAATAAAATAAATTATATACTATATGGTGTGTTCAAATAGTTTGAGAGTAGATAATAATCGTCTAAATAAATTCATCAAACTCAAATTTCTGAAGATTATTCAAACCAATTTTTTTCAGAAAGAAAAAATCGTAATAATATATTGTGGACAAAAAAATTCATGCACGTATACTCAATTTAATAATGATACATTAAACCCAATTATTTCAGCAAGAATATCTTTATGCCCAATTTAATAATGAGACAATTATTTTCAGTATTAATTTTTGTGTTCCATAAAAGAAATGTCAATTTGAAGAATAAAAAAATATGTGAAGATAATTACCAACTTTATTTAAAATTTTTATATGATTCCATGTTGTCTTTCTAAATCTTGTAATATAATTAATAAAAGATATTTTAAATTTTAAAAGGCAAGACCATGTAACGTCAAATATCATAACTGGCATGTAGATGATATAATTATATATTCATATTTAGGTAATTATTTTAGATAAAAAACATTACATTTATTGATACCTGTATAAAAAAAATTAAACACTTTTAATTTCATACCTAAGTAGAGAAAGTTTAATGTTGTGATCACATATTCACATGGTAATGTCGCCACGTGTAAAAAATAAAAAAAGGCAGAAGAGCTCATACTCTAGATGGGATCTAAGTGAAAACACAGAGATAAAATTCAGTACGAAGCAAATAACAAAAAGTAAACAGGTGGATATATAATTAGATTTTAATAGAGAATAGAGCTAAAACAATTAGACACAGAGGGGTCGGAGGCTCGGAGCGAGACTGTCAAATCTCCATATTCTCTCTCTCTTTCTCTCTCTATTTCTCTCCCTCTAAATTCTCATAATTCTGATTTTTCAATCCGTATATTCGCTTCAATCGCCGATCTTTTGTACTCTTCCTCGGGAATCCCTCGTCTTCCTCTTTCAATCTCTGTCTCTTTTCTCAGAATATAATGTTTCTGATTTTCAAGGTACGAATTATATTATTATTATAAACAAATAGGCTTGTAAATTACACTTTCTATCCTTTTCTTCGCTTGTTTTTTTTTATTTGGAGTCTAATGAGTTGTTGAGCTGATGGATTTTTTTTTTTTTTTAATTTTTGTTTTCATATTTTAATCAACTGCTGATCTTATCGGCTTTCTGGCTCTGGTTTAATACTGGTTTTTGCTTTTAAAATTTTCTTCTGACGTATTATTTTGTTTTATATAAAGATATTCTAGATGGGTTTAAGTTTTATTTACCTGGGATTTTGTTGTTTCAATTCTCTTTTCCAGAGTTATTTTTTGGTTAATTTGTAATCCACATTTTGTTTTGTTAGTTGTTATTGTAATTAGTTTGGTTTGGTTTTATGGTTTGAGAAGATTACTAATGGTGTGTGTTCAGAGAGTAGTACTCTCATGGCCTCATCTTCTCTCTGCATCATTGACCAAATTTTTTTGGTCTTTGAGATTCTTCTGTGAAACTCTGTGCTTTAGGTGGGTATTTTCTCAGTACATTAAAAAAAGGTTCCCTTTTATGGAAATGGGATCTGCTTTTTACATCGCATCATAAATAATTATAATAAAAAATAATAATAATATAACAATAATGGTAATAATAATTCATGTTTGTTAGCTGATGCCTCATGGTGGTCATGATTTCTTCTACAGAACTTGTCTCATATGCACAAATGTGGAGAAGATATGATTAGTGGGTAATTCTTTAATCAAATAAATATGAATGGAAAACATGTTACATACTTCAACAAACACCAGTTCTGTCTTATCTTTTGTTGTTTTTCTCATGTTCTTCTTCTTCGTCTTCTTTCTTTTTGTTTCTTGATGCAGGACTGGTTTCTGATTTGATACAATTCGGACTCTGAAAAAAGAAAGGAGAAAAAAGATAATAATAATGGAAGGTGATACATTTTCAGGGCTTGGTAATGGTACCCAGATTGATGGGAAGATCATGCAGACATTTCAAAAGAGTTTTGTGCAGGTCCAAGATATTTTGGATCAGAATAGAGCGCTCATCAATGAAATAAATCAGAACCATGAGTCCAAGATCCCTGACAATCTCAGCAGAAATGTGGGTTTAATTAGGGAGCTGAACAACAATATAAGGAGGGTGGTTGACCTTTATGCTGATCTTTCAAATAACTTCACCAAATCCATGGATGTGTCCTCTGAAGGAGATTCTAGTGGTGCTTTGAAATCAGATGGAAAAGCTGGCCACAAGAGAATTAGGCCTGCTTAAACACTAAATTGATCTTCGTGTTAATTCTTTTGCAAAATCATGAATTTTACAGTTTGTATTGAGAGGTAGTAGAAGAAACATGGTTAGATTCTGTAACTTATCTTGTATCAGTCAACTCTCTGTAGTTCTCCACTCACTCACTCCTCACAATTTCTTAGAGAAATAATTCCTCAAAATTCCTATCTCATTGTAACTCTGTAACTGTGGATCTAATTGAAAATCAAGCATGTTTTGTGTTAATTTCTTCTAATTTTTGTTGCTGTTGTTGATAAAGGGGTGTTCTGTTCTTTCTCTTACTTGAAAGAAATTTTTGTCTTTTGTTTGTTTTTTTCCATAAAATGAGTGTCAATCTACTGGAGATTTTACCCACAGCTTATGTTATGTGTGCTTACGATCATCTTTTTTATAGAATTGGGACCTTTTAAATTTCAGGTTTTAAGAGCTTTTTACCTTCTCTCCGAACTTTTTCTGTTGCTGAAAAGGGGTGATTCTATTAGACGTCTTTACAATTTTCTATGAGTTTCTTTTCATTAAGGTTCATGTCTACTTTTTTGATGATGGGAACTCCTCATAAGACCTCTTTTTTATTCCTTTTTTTCTAACTCAAAACCAAAGCAAATATTTGATTCAACTGAAACTCAAGTGAATAAGAAGTTACAGATGCTGTTTTGGGTGGTCTCCCATGAAAGCTAAGGCTCCTTCTTTTTGGCAATAATTTACTGTTCATGTTACTTTTGTTTATTAGGTTAAGCCTTAGTGTGGAGAAGTGAAACAACATACATGCATATGTATGCATACATGTCTCTGAGACTGAGAAGATGCTCTGAGGAAGAAAGCAGCTTTTAGATAATCTTTTTGGTTCCCACTTCCCAATCACACGCCACCACAAGAACAGAATCTCAGATAAGGGATGATAAGCTTTTGACCATTTTTTTTAATCTGTCATAACCAATGACAATCTCTTGGTTGTTTTTGATAAGGGAAAAAATATATATAATTTAATTATTGTATATCTTAGTTTAAAACTCAGCAATATCAATAGACGACAGGCAGATATGTATGAACAGTGACCCCAACAACATGACAAGGGCCCCAAACCCCCCCCCCCCCCCCTCCCTTTTTTTTTTTTAAATATAGATGAAATGAAACTCAAACTTCTCCATGCTTATCTCCTCTTCTCTTCTCTTCTTTCTCTCTTTTTTACTGTTCTTTTTACTTTCTTTCTTTCTTTTTATGCAATAAATGTCCTTTATTTCCTCCTTCAAGTTGATGATTCCCCAGCAACTCTCTGATTGAGCCTAAGCAGGTTTCTTTGTTGGTGGGTCCGTTATATTTCCACCCTAATTGCCTGATCTTCCGAGAAAGGTCCACATGATTGATACTGTAAATGGCTTTAGATTTTTTAAATTAGTGGTGAGGGTCTCACATCTACTTTTCTTTGTTTTTAGGCACTTGGGCATCTTTAAAACTCCATTCTTTATCTCAAACTCCCTTAATTACATTTAAGACTTTAATTAATGCATATTGATTATTATGTAAAAGGGTAAAATGTCTCTCTCAAATGAAGCAAAAAGGACAATTTAAGAAAAGATTGGGATACTAATTATCATTAACCAGAAATGTTTGCGGAAGGAATCATTCCGATGAAAGAAAAAAAAAACCCTGGAACAATTGAAACTGGCCTTTTTTATTTTGCAAAATTTAGTACCTAAAAACGCATGTGGACAAGAGGAGGTAAGATAATTTAATGGGGCAGCGTTGTTTTTTTATAACTTGTGTTTCTACAATAAAGTCAGTGCTTTGCTATTTTGTCCTCTTTACAAGTACAATTATTATCACTACATCACGCCACATCACATTGGCCTCTATTACAAAATTTAGTGGAGTTACCTTTTTCAAGATAAGATAGAATCTATCATTAAGCCCTATTCCCTAAAATGGGATTGAAATGGTAAGAAGAGGATATTAAATATAATGAAATGTAACAAGAGTTGCCGGCCTCAGGGCAGTCAAAGGCGTAAGTGTGGAATAAGAGAAGTAGAGGTGGATATTATGATTAATATAAATGGGTGTTTTAGTTTAAGGTAATAATACATGCAATGACAACATGACATGTGAAGTGGGAGTGGGAATCTACTTTTGCCTTTGTTTCCTTTTGTTCCTTGCATTTCCAGCAATTAGGTTGGAAAAGAACCCAAGTCTACTTCCCCACTTTCTCAGATTTTATTTATGGGAATGGGACCCAATTTTCATTAATCAAATCATAATAATACACACCCATGCTTGAATTCACCAATTATACCCTAATTACATTTTTTAATTATTTTTTCTTATGATAATGTTTTATAAAACCCAATTCAACCATTCTTTATTCCTCTCTTATTCAATATCGTCATCCTTTGTTAGGTAAAACCGGCTACTTTTATGAATGCATTGCACTTCCTATTTTGATTGGATTAATTTTTTAACCTTTTTTTTTTTTTTTGACAAAATTATAAAGATAATAGATATTTAAAGTACCTAGCCAATAACAAGAAGAAACTTAAGGAAAATGTAACTTTATTGATTTCGGACAGCGAATTAATAAGACTATTAACTAATAAATTATGGGATTAACCTCAATGAGTTGCCCTGACAGTTAATGAGATTTGCTCAATTCCTTGAGTTTCTGAGTTCAAATTTTGGGGTCATCTATCACAATAATATTATAGCTTACCTTGTCCTTTGGACTTATTAGGTGTTCAATGACCTTGAAGAATAGTTAAGGTGCGTGCAAACTGATTACAAAAAATAAAATAAAATTTGTGGGATTGGATTTTTACAGCAAAAAATCTAACACATAATTAATTAAAACTTTTGTTGATGGAATATAATCATTTAGGCTTAGTCATTAAAACAAGTCAAATTGTGTGTACTCATCAATGGCTTTATAATTGTGCTGAATCATCAATGCTTTTATATATATATTATTCCAATTTTCCTTCTTAATTAACTACTTTTAGATGCTTCTTCTTTTGTTTTTGTATTGATTTATAATTACACTCATTTAATAAACAAATAAAGTTTGGACAAATCTATTGATTTTAAAGACATTAAAAGATGATTTGCCTCCACCAAATATATGAAAAAAAAAATTAATTATAAAACCAATCCTAACCACATACAACCACGTTTATATTTTTTACTTTCACTGTTTAGACATCTTTAAATTTTGCAGGCTCTGTGTGTGTATGTCCATTGGTGTTTGGGCTATTGGGTTAAAAGAGGCCCATAATTTTAATAACAAATGGGCCTTCATGGGTTAAAAGAAGACGAGAAAGCTTTCATTTCAGGCTGTGTTGGCCCTAATACATTTTATGCACAATCCCTAAAAGTGTAAAAACCACTGTATCATTACGAATCATATTATAGTGATGGGCCGCTAGGATGTGTGAATTTTGTATTGAAACTTTGAAATTTCTAAATAAGAAGTGCTCAACCGTGAGGTTTAAGGGGCTCTAATAAAATACTATTTGTCAAAACTTTAAAAACCTTTCAAATTGGAGAAAAATTAAATAGTATATTGTTAAGTGTTTTAATAAGACTATGTTAATATTCCACAGTTCACTTCTTGTTGAATTAAACATTTTACAAAATGTTTTTCCCACAACTGAATCGACGACATTGAACGCTTGTCGTTTCACCTATTATGCCTAATTACTTCCCCTAACCAAACAAATCACACGCAATCTCATCCGTCCGTTACCAAACCCTAAAATCAAATCCTGCCGTCCGATATATCTCCTCTAATCCATATAACCCATCCCTATAACTCGCAAACCCCTTTAAGAATTAGGGTCTGCAGAGTTTGCACAGGAGCCAGCCACCTTGCTCACTCACTGAGATCTAATCTCTGCAACTCAACAAAACAAACAACATGGCAACTCAAATCAGCAAGAAGCGAAAGGTCAGTTCCTCGATTCCATTTCATTTTTGTGTTTCTTTGAAAAAAAAAAAAAAAAAAAAACTACTAATTAAATACGAAGATTGACTGGTGTGTGTTTTGATTTATAGTTTGTGGCCGATGGAGTATTTTTCGCCGAGTTGAACGAGGTATTGACTAGAGAGCTGGCAGAGGACGGCTACTCTGGTGTAGAGGTCAGGGTAACTCCCATGCGCACCGAGATCATCATCCGAGCCACTCGCACCCAGAACGTTCTCGGTGCGTTTCACAATGTTTTTCATTTTTTGAATGTGTGAATTATTGATTTGGATTTGATAATAATCCGGCTTTTTTTTTTTTTAATAGGTGAGAAAGGAAGGAGGATTAGAGAGCTTACCTCAGTGGTGCAGAAGCGTTTTAAGTTCCCAGAGAACAGCGTGGAGCTTTACGCTGAGAAAGTCAACAACAGAGGACTCTGTGCTATTGCACAGGCCGAGTCTCTCCGCTACAAGCTCCTTGGTGGCCTTGCTGTTCGCAGGTAATGAAGAAATTTATTGTATATCATTTAATTTATGTTAGACGAGGAATCCTAGTTTAGAAGTGAAACATCAAAACTTATACCTGGACCTCTTGTCGGAATCTTTTGCCCAATGTGTTAATTGTAATCTTGTCATCTATAAAGCAGAGTGGTGTTTCCATGCCAACTCTGTGTCGGAAGATGACTAGATTGATTAATATTCTCCACACCATTATTCTTGTGAGATATGATCCTGTTATTCACATAGTAACTGAAGGAGAGTACATGTCTTTTATTGATTTATTAGTTTCTGGAACCTTGACCTGAACCGTATTAAGTCATCTATAAAGCAAACAGGTTACTTCTATACCAGTTTGTGTCGGAAGGTGACAAAATTGCGGTGCTTCCCCAATTCTCTACTTTTGCCAATGTAATGATACAAACTTACATTTGTAGAATTTGGGTAGCCACATGATGGATAACTTTTTATTTCAATGTCTTAAAAGTATGCTGTGTTATGCAAGTAGTATGACCATCCAAAGGGTGTTAGGTATTAACAGCTATGTTCATTTAAATGTAATTTTTTCCTAATTGAGACTCAAATCTGAAATGAGAATGATATGGAAAAGGTATAATCTGAATTCAAAGTATTAATTGTAGCCATGGAAATAGAGTTGGAACGACGGTGCCATTCCTTTCCAATTTTGACGTGAATTATTTTGAAGATTTTTGGATAAATTTTTTCATGTAATCAGCTAATGAAGTAAATCAGTGAAATTAGGGCTTTATAAACATTATTTT